TGCCCTACTACTCTTATTCTTTTAAATTTACCTTAAATCATTTCTAATTTTTAGGTTGTCATCAAATCTTCTTATTTTAAGTTGTATGGCTCTTCAACAAATTTGTAAAGGTAATACTCGCCGAATAAAAATAGATTGATGTTAGAATTCTGTTGAATATACCATTAATATCTATATTCATTTGAATTTACTGATTTAATCATTTATTTCATGTTTAGATCTTTACAAATGTTCTTATTGGAGTTGTAGAGCATTTCTACAAATATATCAAGGTAATATTCGTTAGAATTATGTTAGATATACCATTATTATGTTCTTATTTTTTTGATTTACCGATTTAATTGTTCATTCCACTTTTAGGTTTTTACAAACGTTCTTATTTGAGTTGTAGGGCATTTCTACAAATGTATCAAGGTAATATTCTTTAGGGAGTTTTGAAAAATTCAAAAATCGGCTTGTATAAATAGCCTGTGAATACGTCTGATATTTGAATTGTGCCAATTTGACTTGATTATATGTTAAGAAATTTTTGTTCAAGCCTTGAAGATTTTTTAGCTTGCTAATATAATTTAGTTTTTGCATATTCTAAATTTTCAAAAAAAATGATTCATTAAAATTCTTTTGGATACACCGTTATTATATGTGTTATGTTCTTATTCTTTTGATTTACTGATTTAATCGTTCATTCTACTTTTAGATTTTTATGAAAGTTTTTGCTTGAGTTGTATGGCACTTCAAATATATCAAGATAATATTCGTTAGAATTCTGTGCTTGAAGTTGGATACACTGTTGTCATGTTTTTATTCTTTTGATTTACCAATTTATTTTTCGTTCTACTTTTTAGACCTTTATGATTATTCTTATTTGAGTTGTATAGCCGTTCTGCAATGCACTAAAGTAATATTCTTTGAATAGAATTAGATTGTAGTTGGAATATAAGGGAAATCTTTTATTTGCTATAATACTTATCTTTTAATTTCTCTTTGGTTTTTTAGAATTCTTTTTGCTATTGGATAATGTATTTGAACACCGTTATATTAGTTCTTTGTCAAATAGTATACTTTTAATAGAACAATTTTATTACTATACATCTATTTATTTAAACTTACTATCAGTTTTATACTAATTGAGATTATTTTCAGCTAGTGTATCTTCTGTATATAATTACCCATCAAAGCTGTATGTTGTACTTTTTGCCTGTAAAGATTATCACCACCAGTATGTTATTTGTTTGTTAAAGTCATGTTAGTTGTTAATAATACATCACACTTCTTATATAAAAGTTGTACATATATATTAGCCATCAAAATCGTCACAATCAGTGGTATTCTATTATATCTCTACCTAGTGATATTATTACTATTAGTAAATATACTATTTTATTCGTTTAAGTCACATCAGTTTTTGGTATCACACTTCTTACTTGTCAAGATTACTTTAGAGAAAGTTTTTAATTTTCATGTGCCGAAGTCGTCATATCATTGTCTATCAATATCATTGTCATCAGTAAATTTTATTTATACATTTTCAATATTATGCTGATTGTTAGTATAAATTTTTACCTTTATAATTGGTTTATCTAGTCTTTTTTTATCAAAGTTGTTGCTATTAGCAGCATATAATACTTTTTACTAGCAGATATCATCACTTTTAGTACATTATTTTACTCGTTAAAGTCATATCAATTGTTAACTTATCTTTTTAATATTTATGTTGTTATACACAGTATTTCTATTCATCTCTCTGGTATCATAGTTCTTTATCTCTGAAGTTGTTGATCTATTAAATAAAAAAAAAGAAAAAAAAAAATCAAAATTTAATGAGAAATCAAAAATCAAAAAAAAAAATACAAAACCCAAATGAAAAATCAAAAATCCAGAAAAAAAAAGATAGAGGATCCTATTTATTATGTACCATGTAATGTATGTACGCTCTGGTTCAGATACATGCACGCTAGTCCAGATTTATATGCTCTGGTTCAGGTTCACACGCGCCTGGTCCAGACTCGTACGTGACAGACTATGTAAGTATAACAATTCATTGATTCTTAATTTGTGATTCTATAACTTTTATTTTTTTCACATTGCTCATCTATTTTTTACTTGTTTATTAGCTTTCTACTTACTTGTTTATTAATTTTCTAACTTTTATTTATATTTTAAAATAGTTAGACTTCCAAAAGTATCAGATATGCCCGAAGACTTTAATAACATAGTCAACTATCTTGAATACAGAATTTTTGCAGAAAAATACAACAGTACTTTGAAAAAATCAAATTTTCAAAGAAGATGCAAAAATTTCGTGTATGATCAACAAACTAGCTATCTTTTTTTTAATCAACTATCCAATGATAATTCTCTACCTATTAAAAAGAGGGTTGTCCTGACCTACGATTCTGAGTTAAAAAGGACTCTTCTCGAGAAGTTCTACACTGTTTCTGCCCATTTCAAGTATCATAAAATGTATGCAATAATTTACGAATGACACATTGGTATTACTCAAGATGAAGTCAAAAAGTACGTGAATGAGTGCCCAACCTGCATACAAAATGGAAGCATAAAGGAGAAGTCTGATTTAGTACCTGTTGTATCTAGTGGCCCGTTAGAACACCTTCAGGTCAATTTGGTTGATCTGCTATCATACGTTGAGCATAATGATAGGTATAGTTATATTCTAACTTTAATTGATATATTTTCGCATTATGTTTGGGCAATTCTTATTAAAGACAAGGAAGAAAATACAATTCATAGCGAATTGGTAAACGTCTTTAAGAACTTTGGTCCTTCTACTAAACTACAAGCAGATAACAGATCCAAGTTCATAACTAGGTAAAATATAATGGATTTTTATATCTAATCTTGCAAAATATTTTCAACTTTTAAAAAATTTAACAATTATCAGTTTTTATAGTATTTTAAAAAAAACCTGTAATGTATTTAAAAAAAATCTTATTCACGATCATGCCAGACACCCTCAAAGTCAAGAGAAGATTGAGAGATTTAATCAAACACTCAGCTGGCATTTAACAAAAATGATGTGGATAAGGTTTCTGGATCTCAAAATTATTGTTGGATTAATGTTCTCCTACAATTTGTAATTGCCTATAATAAGGGCTCCATGAAACCCATAAAAAATCACTATATAAAGCATTTTTAGCTTTAAAATGCATGCTGTTACAATACACCAAATACACTGGAGGACAATACACCAGAACTATTCTACCAGAGCACATTCTACCGGGGACCATTTTACCAGAAACCATTTTGCCAGAAACTATTTTGCCAGGGACCATTCACCGAGAACACTGAAGCATATTCCACCAGAGAATGCTGCTTCTCAAGATAATGAAGCCTTATATGAACTTCATGCAATGCAAGTAAAACATGTGCATGATGAAGTTGCGCAAAATGATGAAACTTATCAAAATAAGCTGGTAATTCGCGGAAGTGTTCATAGAAGAAAAGTAACATTTGAACTGGAAGATAAAGTTGTGGTTGTACCTGATTTTGATAATAACCAAAAAACGTGAAAGCGTAGTTGGAACAGACCTGTAGTATTACTGGAAAGGTTGTCAGTTTGTGTAGTAATAACAGGACTGTTAGAGTTGATGTAGATGGGAAATAAAAAATTTTGTTGCTAAAAATTTGAAGAAGCTTTGTAAATAGCCTAGAGTTCGCGTAGTTAAAAAAAAAAATTGTATTAATTTTAGATATTAATAAAATTGTTACATTGCATGCAATTAATAATAGAAGGTTCTGAATTCCTTTTTATTTTAAAAAAATCATGCTATAAATATTTATATTTGCATACTTGTACGAATGCAAAAAAGACAAACTTAATTTAATAATTTATATAGACTTTTCTTTGATTCTTATTATTAATAGTAATCCAAACATTAAATTCTAACCCTAAAGTAGAATAATTAACTATAAAAAGCTATTAATCAACCCTTAAAAGTGCCATTAAAATAATTATAGCACTTATAAAAAGCTATTACAGCTGTTTTTCACTAGATAGCTACGTGACGTTATCGCGCAAAACCAGGAACAGAAACAGAGAACAGAATTAATGCATTTGATACTATAAATTTGCGTATAATTTTGATGCATTCCAGTGCTAATAGTGCTAGATATTCAAACTTTATTATAGAGTTATAGTATACATCAGTACGTTTGATGTATAGTTGAAGAGATATATAGTATACATCAGTATATAATTGAAAGAGATATATAGTATACATCAATGCATTTGATATATAATTGAAAGAGATATATAGCATACATCAGTGCGTTTGATGTATAATTGGTATTTGCCAGTGGTTTCCGACTCACATAAATGCAGGTTGGCTGTTAGCCAGAAGCTTTGTAGTCTCATGATATTAGCTGGTAGTTTCTGTATAATACAGATCGGCTATAAAGAGATGTTTAAGCTGCTACAAAATAGCAGGATTCTACTGAAAGAGGGTAAGGTCGAAAGTGATTTGTCTCTTGAAAAGTCTGCTGTCATGCTGCCTTGCTGTTCTTCTGTTTTATATCTGTATGTTATTGTCAGCTAAATTTGATATATTAGTGTTCGCACTATAAAGCTTCTAAAGTAATTTCATTAAATTTATACTTATCTTTACTCTTGCATATATCGGATTCTCTTGTTGGAGCCGGGATCACCCATGTGATCATCACTTGCTAATGCATTACTGCTTAGCAGTCTTTTTGATCTGTCAACTTGAATGAAGATCTTACCCAGGATCACCACAAAAATTCTACTATCATATAACTGAATTGTTGTGCATAAAAAAAATCTTTTAGTTTATTTAAGTTAGAGTTAGTTGGTTAGATATTAGCAGACATATAGCAAAATTGCTCAAGAATTTTTTTTTGTTAGAGCACAAAAGGTAGTTTCTTATACAAATTTTTGAGAAATTAATGATTTTTTAAAAAATGATCATTTTGTTTTGATCTTCCTGATTGTGTAATATTACATCAAAGCAAGGCTTGCTATTGTATAAGCAATTGTAGATCTTCATGTGACAGTAGAATTTTTGTGGCAATCCTGGGGTAGTTTTGAAAGAAGACAGCAATTATATAAGTTTTAGCCAATTATCGCTGTAATATGAAAACAATAATTGTGGCAGATCATAATGAAATCAGATTATAATAATAGGCTTATAGGTAGCTATGACAAGTCTGAAACTTAAACTAACTAATATATTGCATATTCTGAATAAGGTTAGATAAATTTGTATAGGAAACTTATATTAGAGAGTTTAAATAGAAGATCTACAAGCAGATCTTAGCTATAGCATATAGAAGACAACTATAGATAAAAATAAATATAGTGAAGTCTTTAAATAAATAATGACTAAAGTTGTATGTGTATTTATATGTATTTTTGTCAAAATGTACTTGTCTGGAACCCATTGAAAAAAGCATTATATAATTCTACAATCTAATAAAAATAATAAGCTGAAGAGACTAATCTTGACTATAAAAAAAATTATATATATATAATTCTAGAATCTTATATATTTTTTATTTTATTATTTTTTTAATACTTTATTATTAAATTTAAATCAAATTTAAAGTATTAGAAAAGAAAACTTTAACTAATTTTAGCTATTAATTTATCTAAACTATTTTATTTATAGATTATTTTTTTATTTTTTATAGTCAAAATTGGCCTTTTTGGCTTATTGCTTTTATTAGATTGTAGGATCATATGGTGTCTTTTCAAAAAGGCTTTAGACAAGTATATTTTGACAAAGATACATATAGATACATATATAACTTTAGTCATTACCTATTTAAGAGCTCTGTTATATCTCTATAGTTATTCTTCATATGCTATACTAGGACTCTGAAGAACTTTGATACAATCCAGAGGTTATTAAAAAAGGAAATTTCATGTAGAATTCATCAATCATTGTCACAGATCATAATTTAAAATGAAATCTAAATTTTTTACTTAACTTGTTAACCTTCTAAAACCTACTTATACTTGTTTATTATGACTTTACTTTACCTATCCCTAAAAAATGCACTCCAAAAAATTTTATTTTTCGAGATTTTATATTATAATTTCATTTTGATCTAGATTTCATTATGATCTGCTACAATCATTGCATTTTTATATAGTAAAATTTTAAATTTTAGTTATTTTATATGCCTATTTGCTAATATTATATAAACTCAGATCTGAGTATATCAGAGTCCTGTTTATACATACTGACAAAATTATTTTAGATTTCTGATTATGAAATTAAAATTTAAAAATAAAATTGTTTTTGACCTATTTTACTTAAAAGATGAACTTTTTTGATACTTTTTTTGAAAAGACGAAATTATAAAGAACAACTACCTAATTTAGATTTGCTCTTGCATATAAAAATTTTAAATTAGTTTAATAGAAATAAAATAGAAGTTTTTAAAAACCTATTTCAGTGGCATGTATAGTCTGTTATATCTGAGATCTGCCGTAAATCTCTTATTAAAATTTTGTAGTATCTATTGATTCTTTTTTTTAGTTAATGCTCATGTCAATAGCCTGGTTGATGAAACAACTTGTCAGATACTCTTGTTATGTTCAGTTAACTAGCCTCAGGTAAAGCCTATTTCAGTAGTTACTGTTAAAAGTTTGTGCTATTTCTCTATTCAGGTCATGCTAAGTGGTTATTATCTTTTTAGTTTTTTAGATTAATATGATTATAAAGACTTATTTTGGGTTTGCACTGTCTAATACTGGCTTGCATGCTTTTGAATAATTTATCTATTGCATAAATGCCCTATAATCTTCTAATCTTGTTGATGCTATTGTAGATTATTTCTAAAATATCTTCTTTATACTAAATACAATAAAATAGAAAAGACTTATCGGCATTTATTTATTTATTTATTTTTTAGACTTTGGTGGTTTTGCTAATATAGTTTTATTAGATATTTAGAAGTATTACATATTTGTTATATATAGATATTAAAGTTTAAGCTCTAACATTATCTAGCTGCCTCTATAAGTCTCTAGATATAACTTATTGAATTAGACTAATCTTGTAATTGGCTTTTTATTATCTTTTTGAATAGTACTAAAAACTGGTTATCAAATCTGTAAGCTTTTCTGAACAAAGCTCTTATACTAGTTCATATATGCTCTATATATCTACTATCTGAATTTTAACTTTCTATTAGTTCTATATCTAGCTATACTTATATTTGCTATATCTCTTATCTTTTTGTTACTATATAGCTTCCAAATTAATACTTTTAGGTTGTAGATCCTTATAATCTTCTAGTTTGGTATATTTGTTATTAATTTTTTAAGATATTTGATATATATCAAAATCTATAGAAGAATTCATATCTCAAGCTAAAAGCTGTTGTCTAGTTAAGTTTTTATATAATAAGTTGATATTATATTATCAGATAAACTCTCTTATTTATTTGTCTAGATATTACTAATCTGTATCTCAAGCCAGCCTCTGCTGCTGCTAATTTTCTTATATAGATATCACAGATTTTTATATTTTTATTATATTATAACTTAGTACTACTGTACTTCTAATTAATACTTTCTATTATAGTAGAAAACAGTACTTTTTTCGTCTATATTCAGGACAATTCTGGTTATATCCAGAGAGTTTTACCAACTCCAATAATATTATACTACTATATAGTATAAGCTTTAGCCAAAATATATTATGATACAAAACAATTCTAATTGTACTCATAAAGTTACTCTAATCTCAATAATATTATACTATCTTGATTTTTACTTTCAACATATGGCTGTTAGTATATGCATTATTGGTAATTTATTTCCAGATCTTTTTTCATCTATAGACTTCTATATAGGTATAACTATTGCTCAATTTGGCATTTTTATATATACAAAGAAGTTTAGCTTATCTCTATATTTTAGACTTTTATAGTAACTCAAGGTGCTTCTATTTTTAGTAAGATTAATCCTTTATCACAAACTATAAATGTGTTTGTCACTTTTCTTGCTACTACAACTTTGGTTACTAGTAACTATCCTTTCAAACAAATATTTGTATCTTCAATCTAGATAAAAACTAATTTGCACAGTTTAATGATCACCTTTCCAAGCAAGTATTCTACAAATTGGATATAGAGATATTGATACTGCCTAAACTAAAGATACAAGAATATTGGTGCTACCCTGTCTCAAAGAACTTACTTGTATAATTACTATATCTAGAGTCTTCTATAATACTACAATTATATATAGTACCATTTATTTCACACTTAGGTCTTTTTCTAAGAATTCTAATTCTAATTATATACTGCATTTAGACTTGAATACAGGGCTTTGCATTCAATTTGGCTCCTAAAGATTATAAAAACAAATATTAAATTTGCTTCCAGCCTAACTTGAACTAGTAACCTTGTCTGTGAGGGTTTAAGAGTTTAACTAATAAGCTATAGAGTCCAAACTTATTTATTTGGTTATTATTAAAAGTTGATTTTTTAAATATATTATAAAAAATATTTATTCTTGATAATATATTTAAATTAATAT